CAAAAGTGTATAATCTCTTTCCAAAGTAGCTAGTGTTTTCTGTACTAAGGATATTGATTTTCCATGTTTATTTAGTGGCTCATTACCTTTCTAATGCTGTAGTGGATTTGTTTATGTTGAAATAGTTGATTGATGTAATGAGAATGTTGATGGGTTTGTATATAGTTTTGTTACCTAGAGACTTCACTTTCGTGACCAGGTTGAAGAGAGGTTACAGTTGTGGTGTGCTCTACTTTGGTTTGATTAAGGAAATTAGAAAGTTCTGAAGAAGAGAATTAATTACATTATCGCATATGGCTCATTACTGATATATTTGAATTCCATATTGTTTCCAAAGTATCTTATTAGAAATATCTAATCCCATCTCTTAAAAATATATAGTTGAAAAAAAAAATGAAAAGGTCTCTTTATACCTGTGGCAGATTGTGCACTGGAATAATTAGCTTGAGTCATAGTTTTATAAACAAATCAGCACTCTTTGGTTACTATGGTCTGACTGACTGACTGTCTACCCCACCTGGACATCACACAAGCGATAAACACCCGATGACACAAAGTGCCACCATGCGGATGAGGATCGCCGTAGAGAGGTCCCAGAAACCGCGTTCAGACACTTGGCCATATGTATGGCCTGCCTATATTGCGGCCCCTGGCAAAAGCCAGGGTGGGGCTTCAAAAAACAAAAAATTTCGTCCTAAAAAGGACGTAAGGGTAAGTGTGCAGGTTGCTATGGTTAGCAAGGTGCTGGCCACACATCTGTCTCCTAGGACATGACCTGGTACCCATTTTAGTCATGACCCACCAATGTTAATCTTTTTTTTAAAAAGCCTCAGAATGTATAGCTTGCAGTGTATTTTATTTTTATTATAACTTAAAAGGGTGGTCAGTTGCGATGTGTACTTTGTATACTGCTCTGCTTTAAAGTAAAGAAAATGGCTCTTTTCATGTCACTTTCACATTAGACATATGACTTATTATTTTAATGACCAAGTTTGTTAATATAAATGCGTTTATTTTTTTATACCATTTATAATATGTCTTAGACCTACATTGTATACCCCCCACCTTTACTTCCAATTTCTATGTATATATTTAAGGCTGGATAGACTTAGGAGCCTAAATCAGTTATTTAAAATGTTGACTAATTTCAGACTTCCACCCAAGACCTTTATATGGTCTTATATGGTACTATAACGGCTGTGTTAATAAGTACCTTTCACCATTTATTATAACATATCTCTTCTACAGAATGGTGTGTTGACTGTGCAGATTGGAAATAAGGCAGGCACTTATGTGATAAACAAGCAAAGTCCCAATAAACAGATCTGGTTGTCATCCCCTGTCAGGTGTGTAGCAAAGTTTAATTATAATGTATTGCGAAAGATATTGGACCAAGAGGTGAAGAAAAGACACTACCGTTGGATAGGACACACGATGGGAAAACCTGAGAACAATATAACTAGAATGTCTTTGCTCTGGAACCCACGGGGGCAGAGAAATAAGGGAAAACCAGAAGAAGAAAAAAACACATGGAGAAGGGAGCTAGAGAGGAAAGTTAAAAATATGGGGAAAGCTGCATGAGATAGCGAAGGATAGAATTACTTGGTGTGAGATTGTTGAGGGCCTGTGATTCATTGAGGGTTAGAAAGGCAGAAGAAGAAGACTGAAGTAGATGATATTTGTTTACTAAGTTGTAGTATCATAATTAGCCATATTCTTTTCACTTTTCTGCATTCACCCTTAAAAGGGTGGTTGGCATGTTGAGTTATGCTGTATAAACAGACTACAATATCTTCACCATTTGGCCTAACATATTCCCTTTCAGGAAATCTAATTGTCGCCGTCTTGTAAAGCTGTGGTTTTCAGCCTGGGTGAAGAAAGCTTCAACGAGCGTCAAGCAGTTTTGGAATTGAGTGCATTTGTACTTATAGTAATCTTGCCTAAAGGCACTTGGGTGTAACAAGAGGGTTTGACTGGCTCACTGCACTCAGAGGAAAGACAAGAAGGACAATAAACTAGATTTTGACTGGTACCATCAGTATTGGAACTGTGCTGGCTGCTGAAAATGAGGAATTGGGAATTCCCTGAGTGCTGTGATGTCAATTCTTGACTCAGCTTAACTCAACTTGTAATAATATTTTTTAAAAATTTGGTCCAATTCTAAATAAAATGTTTCTTTAAACTATAATCATCATCAATTGCTTTCCCGGCTGGTGTAAGTGTTCATGCATCTCAGTAGATCTTGGTCTTTGGTGTTCTGGATCAATTCCACTGATGGTATTCCTCCATGCCACTGTCTTAAGCCATCCACCATCATTTCTCTTGGCCTGCCTCTGCCTCTTCTACCAGTGATCTTTCAAGTTGTCACAGTATTTTCCAGTGCTCCTTTTCTCATCACATGACTTTCAACTATAAGTAAATTTAAAAAATGAAGGACGTTATGTTACTTGACACTGTGATTTATGTGGATGTTCTTGCTAATAATGCTTTGGGTTTTTCTTTTTCTTCTTCTCTTTTCAATCCAGTTTTCTTATGGGAGAGGGTCCTTGCCATAAAATGGGGGTGGGGGGGGGGGGGGTGCACCACCTGAAAAAGATTGAACACCATTGTTGTAAAGGATGTGCAACTACATTTTGGTCATTCTTTTATATAGGTAAATGTCTCTCTTTCTGTTCATTGTTTAATGTTTAAAATGTCTATTTCTGTTTATTTTACAGTGGACCAAAGCGTTATGACTATTTCTGTTTATTTTACAGTGGACCAAAGCGTTATGACTATTTCTGTTTATTTTACAGTGGACCAAAGCGTTATGACTATTTCTGTTTATTTTACAGTGGACCAAAGCGTTATGACTATTACTGTGGTCAGTGGGTTTATCTCAGAGATGGCAAAGGTCTCCACAAACTGCTGGAAGAAGAAATCAGCCAGCTGGTGGGATTCAAAATTGATTTAAAGAAATGCAAAAACTACTCTGAGGGAATATCAGAAAGAAAGTAATAATAACACAGTAACTATATATGATATGTAAATAAACTTATTATCATTAGCGCTCATGTTGGGAGTGAATTATGTATTAACAATAGTTAGTTATTTTTTTTTTTAAAGGACTTCCTTTACAAAAAGATAAGTAAAAACTGTATATACAGGGGAGATGAATGGTCATAGACCATGAAGGCAGACCAAGAAGACGATGTAGAGATAATGTCCAGACAGACCTGCAAACACTTGTCAGCAACTGGAAAGAGAAGGCCAACCAGAGAGATGAATGAGGACGGTTGATATCTTCAGCAATGAACCTCAAGGGCTGAATGCTGAAGAAGTAGAAGACAGGACTTCCACATGTGAATTCCTTGGCTCAATTTTGGGGGTAAAAAGAATAGACCCACTGCCCCCTCCCGACAAGCATGTCATAAAAGTTGACTAATTGGGTGTGTGTGCTTTGAAGTTTGAGTACATACGCCCAAGAGACGAGGAACCAACAGTCTGCTTTGCTTACAAATGTACCAGATATGTAAAACGGATATGCATGCAAAACTTAAGTTTTGGAAGAAGACTAAAGTGCAGAAGTTGACAGACGAACAGAAATTTCTGCTGGAGTTTGCAGTGTTGAGTGCGATTGATAATAATAATAATAATAAGAAAATAACTCTACACAATTGGTGCGTCATGCATGCGGTGACACTCATATTTTCACAGACTGATCAGCAGTAAGTTATTGATGTGGCCATCTGGCTGCTTTTACCTTCTAGGATATTTCCATATGCTCATTGCATAGTGGGTCGACCTGGGAGCCCAAGTCAATTATAAAATATCTGTCACTTTAAATGTCTTTAACGACAGTGAAAAGACAGAAAATGCAATGGTATGGATATGTAAAAAGGTATGATGGCCTCTGCAAAATATTTCCGGGCTCTGTAGAGGGGAAAAAGAAGAAACAGACCAAGAAAGAACTCAGTTCAGAATTTGGCTAAATGGACATTCCTTAACATCTAGTCACTGCATCTGACTGACAGAGGTGGAGGGAACTGATCAGACAGTCAGTAGCAGCTGGTGAACCAAAGATGGTGTATGGCCATGATGCTCTTAATTGTGGGTTACATTTCCATTAAACAATTTAGTGTCACCGTCAACCTGAAACATAATACTACTTTCTTCAGATATGATTAATTTAACATCTGAGAGTTTACAGAAAGTTTATTTGATAGATGCAGATAGCTAATGCATAAACTTATCTACCTCACACATTGAAAGTTTGCATTTGGTCTTCTGTAACTTGTAAGACTCAAGAGTTTTGAAATACCATGCCGGCCTGTGCATAACTGTCTGGTATGATGAGTCAAGAATTGAAATCACCATATTTAGGACATTCCCATAAGTGTTCTGTTCTCATTATTCAGCAAGTGGAAAGTTCCAGTGCTGATACTACCAGCAGAAGTGTGGGTGCTTTATTAATATTCTACCCCCAACCAGGGGGAATCCACAGGTCACGGGACAGTCTAATATTTCAGGGGGTGGTAGATAGGCTGCATGCGGTCGTGGGACCTAGGCTGCACTCTCTCGTGGGTTGGGGTTAGAGCCAGTTCTAGATGTTTTGGGGTCGTTAAAAGCATCAGCAAGCCGGGGAACCCGGTCTTACCATCCTCTAAAATATTGGACTGTCCTGTGAAGTCATCTGGGGTAGGATATTAATAAAGCACCAAAGTTTGATTATGTGTCAGGCTTGCCTTTCCTTGGTCACTCCCTGCTGCACCATTCTTTCCAAAACATATCAGGTAATCGCAGTTCCAACTTCACAGCAAATGGGTCACCCCATTGGGGCTGCATTCCTGTGCCAACAAAAACCACACCAAATGCCCATCAGTGTCCCTTGTGAACAAATTGACTGATGCTGCAGTCTCAGCAAATCCAGTAGCATACACATGCAGTTGTCAGAAGTGCCAACACAAACAGTCCTATACTAGAAAAGCAGGTTGTTTTATCAAGTCACATAAAATTTATCACATAAGGCACCACTTATTCTCAGACCACTGACAATTTTCTAAGTCTGCCCTTCATTATACACACCACCTTGGGCACTTGAAAAGCATTCCGAATGAAATTCGCAGCTCATAGTGTCACACCATGCACTCAACTCATTAGCTGGATGACAGATTTACAGTGATTCCTTGGTGTACATCCTTAATCAGTTCCAGAACATGTACCAAACAGGATGTATACAACACAAATGTTCCCATAAGAATGTATACATGTCCCCAATAACAGCCAAAGTGGAGTTTTAAAATAAGGAAAAATGGCACCTTATGTTGGGGCGAGGTTGGTGCATTTTCCCATAATAAAAAATAAAGGGAGAATAATCAGTCCATTACCTTGAAGAAGAAAATCTTTTTATTATTGGCATATTATACATTGGTGGTGGTGAATAAAATAATTTAAACATTGCCCTTAAGTACATACATACAAAAGCAATTAGATGGGGGGGGGGGAATGAAAATTCAACCTCACTACTTTTTGTGATGGGAAATGAGCAGGCAGATAGACTGGCTGGCTTTGCACTACTTGGTGGTGAATTGATATATGACAAGTTATATATTGTGAGGGCCCTTTGAGAGCGAGTAAACAGTGTGGAGGTGCAAATAGATCATTACATCTAAGAAGAATGGTGCTGCAAGGAGTTACTAGAAGATCTGGCCGACGCTCAACACTCCAGGAAGGATGAAACGGATATACAATCAGACGGTTACTGGTACCATCAGAATTGGAACTCTTTGCTTGCTGCTGAAGATGGGGACTGTGCACTTATTGGAGTGTCCTGAGTGCTGTGATGTCGATTCTTAATTCAACATTAACTGTTCTGAGAAGCCTACTAGGTTGGTGCTGAAAAAGGAGAAGGAGATACTGTTATTGTTTGTAAGAACAGTTCCTTTCTAATAAAACTTTAGGAGTCGGAAATTCTGGTTCTTTTTACTCTTTTGTTCTTTTTATCTGTGATTTTTTTTTAATAGTTGCAACAGGTTATGGCTCACCATGTTTGACTTATACTAAAATTCTTTTCAAACAACTTTGCTTATGACTTCTCCGATTCCCTTCTCCTCTGGGTGTTTAGAAAATGTGGCATCTTAAGGTCATTCCAGACAATGCTTTTACGGCTTTCTTTTGGGTGGCACTTTTCCATAAAGTTTTTCTTCTTCAGCTCAACCAGCTGTAAACTCCTGCAGAAAATTATGGATGTTTGTCCACTTCTGGATTCTAGTCCCGTTTCAGAACCTGAGTGTTGCGTGCACAGTTGTTTTACAGATCCAACTCATTTGTATGCACACTGTTGGTTCCAGGTAGATGCATTCCAACTTCAGTCAGCAAACATCCATTTTCCAATCTGTTCGATATCCTGCATATACTATACAGTTCAGCCCTTTTGATCAATGTTTCTATGGTCAAGACCTACCTAGGCCAGTGTAGATGGTTATCGGCGTTTTCTTCAAATTCGCCATGCATTTTCCTAACTCTCACAACATAAATGGAAAGGTGGATTCAGTCTTTCGAGCATAAAGGCAATAGACGAATAAGCTATTTATAACATTTAAAAAAAATATTAAAGAAGCAAAACAAATAGATTTGCGTGACATCAGGGGCGTCTTCTGGCAATGGTGAAATGTTGCAAGTTAGCTAGCCTCCAACACGTGGTGAGACGTGACTCGATTGCAAAGAATATACTTTAAAGAACTTGAGCGAGGTAGTCGAAGAAGAGTCGGGCATAGAAGAACCTGGAATACCAAGACATGGAGAGGACTAAATTACTATACACTTGTTCAACATGCGGAAGACAGAGCGGGTTGTGTGCTACTGCTTTCATCGATACATCTGATGGACCCCTAACTGGTGAAGGGTTTTGTTATGCTATTCAATAAACCAGTTTTGTGAAATGGATGTGTTAAAAACAGTGATTCCAAAACTGTGCGCTGAGGAGCCGCAACCTCTTTACAGAGGCGCCGCGAAATATTGTAAAAACTTCATTATTAATCTAAACAAGACACGAATATTCATACTTTTACTTAGGTTAGGGCGCAGTGGAAACATTTTATTTGAAGAAAAAAAAAGGCGCCGCGACCAAGAAGAGTTTGGGAAACACTGGTCTATACAAGTCCTGGAAAAATACCAATGCCCAGACATATATGACCAGTCAAGACTTTCAGCTGGAGTTTACTGCTTGTAAACGCTACCAACAACACAGTAGTCTGCAAAAGCAATAGTGGTAGAGTCGAAAGTATCAGTTTTATTGCACCGGGTTTGGCCGCTCAGCTTTTCTCAGCTCAACAAGCCACCTGCCGAAAGCGTCGCTCAAAGCACAAACACCGTAACTCTGGCTATGATCGCCGGAAATTTTAAAAACTGTACCCGTTAAACGAACCCACTATTTTCAGAGCGCGAAGAAGTCGGTTTGAGCCAGTGGTGGGAACTATCAAAATATATAAGTAAATATTCTGATGTCTGCAGGCTGCTGTGAATGCAGGCTGATAATATTACAAGTAACAATGTTTGTAAAGATGCGTCTACATGAAATTAACTGTAGGTCGGACAAGAAGGGGCCTACGAGTAGAATTATCTTACACTTTTACTATCAGTTTCTTGTCTTTACAACTAGCCAGTCTTACAGGTCATCAAAGAACAACAAATGAAGTGGTTTGGACACCTAACAAGAATGCGCTGGTATTATCTGTCACAGCGAGCCACACTAATACGTTACAACGGGTATAGAACGAGTGGAAGACCTCGGAAAATATGGAGTGATGGCATTAAGAACAACCTTACAAAAATGAACATCAGTCTTAATAGTGCTCTTGACAGAGCCCATCAACGAACATTACATCCAACCCCCCCCCCCCCCCCCTTTCCCGAAACTTCGACGAGGTACAAGGTGAAAGAGAAGAAGAAGTGGTACAGATACACGTTTCTGTACCTTACGACATTCACTGTAGGTGACGGAGTATCTGTTTGTTTGTGTACACTGTGTACTGTCATGTCGAAACGCATCGCACGTTCATAGTGTCCTACACAGAAGCCCGATGAACGCAAGATGTGCTGATTTTACATCTCCCTGGACCACCCCTTGGGCTGAAAGTCATATCATAAATCATTTTGCTGTCAACATTATCAACATTCTTTGTTTTGAAAATGCACACGTCTCAACGTTCTGCAGTGTCTTTATCATTATCATTGCATTATTTCTTGCACAGCACTCAGACGAACACCTCGGCTTCCATGGTCGGCGTCTGTGGCTTAGAGGTTATGAAAGCAGGTTGACAGCACCGAAATAACGGGGCTGATTCAACTGCAGGCGTTTCGGTTTGGATGTTGGTGTTCATTGATAATGGAGACAGCAATCATGACAAATCAAAAGGGGTAGACACCTCCCTGTGTTCATTCTGGGCCTAATCTGGGAACCAGGATAGACCCACAGTCCCCTAACAAGCAAGTTCTGGAAATTAGGATTTCGCTAAATCAGCATGTGTTGGGCCAAAATTCCCGGATGTCGCAACCTAGCCGTAAACTACAACATATCGTGCCAACCACCCTTTTAATGACGAATGTCGAAGAACAGGTGTATAGGCACTACTATCTAAGGCGTATCGGCAGTTTTGCGGCAACTATTTTTTTTTTTTTTTAAATTAATAGTTAAAATTTCAGGGTGGCGGGGGGGGGGGGGGGGGGGGTGTTGGGAGCATAGAATGAATGAATAAATCAAGAATTGGCATTAACTGCATTGGGAACGTGCTCTGTCCCCTTCTTTAGTAACCAACGAAGAATTGGCATGCTTACAATAGTATGTTTTTTTTGGTTTTTTTTTTTTTTTTTGGTTTTTGTTTACTATTGTTACAAATACACACACACACTAAATAAGGAAATTACATATTTAAAGTGTAATTATAATGAACCAGCGGTTAGATGCATATCTTTTACAGGATTTCGCAAAGCACTTAACATTTGTTGACTTTTGTGAAGTTTTTCTAGCCAACCCCATGGTCCCCAGTGATTGACGGTTGCCTCCTACATTGACTGATACTAGGAATTCGGTGTAATAGATTCCAAATGTACTTGTTAAAACCTATACATATATGCTTATACTGCCTTTTCCAGAACGGAAAAGTGGACATCATGTAGGGCTCGCATTCTAGTCCTTTTCTTCGTTCTAACAATGGCAAACTGCTGATCGTTAAAATGCCTAGTACATCAGCAAACGATCAACAAATGCTGGGGTTAGTTTGTGACATCCATTACAGGACATGTAACTAGCTTTTCAACTTCTTTCAATGTCATTGCTTTATCTGTTGGTATGTTCCCCACATTCCTCCGGGAGGCAAACAGCATTCCGCTGTGAACGTTTACCCTCCTAAAATAAAACACAATCTTTGTCTTCTTCTTCTTCTTCGCGTTCACCAGCTGTACACTCTGGCGGAAAGTTCTGGTTGCTCGTCCACTACTGAACTGCAGTCCTGCTCCAGAACCTGAGTTTTGCATGTGCATCAGTTTTACAGATCTCATTCTCTTGAATACAGACTGTTGGTTCCTGCCTTTCCGGCAGATGCATTCTGACTTCAAAGGAAGCTCCCCAATCAGTCGACTCTTACGACATGCTTTAGGGGATGCAGTGGGTCTATTCTTGTTTTCCCCTACAATGGGGCCCCGGAACTCACACGGGGGAATCTTAGTCTGGGTGGCAGACAAACACGGCAGATCCCAGAAAGCCTAGTTCAACCTAACAATTATAATTAGAGAACACGTAACGGTTACACAAGCCAGCTGTAATATACAGTCCTATGCGGGATGAGTGTTGATCTAAGAACTGACATGACAACACTTGTGACATTTCCTTAAGCACTCCGCCATCATCTCCAGCAGCCAGCGATAAACAGCCGGTGGCACAAAAGTGCCAACACTTGCATGAAGATAAGGCGGGAAGAGATCACAAAAACCACGTTCAACCCATACGTTGGGTTATATTAGGGTCTCCGGTAACAGCCAGGGTAGGGCTTTAAAACAAAATACAAAAAAAAAAATATTTGTCTTCGACACTGAGACGCAGCAATTATATATTTCTCTCAAAACAGCCGTCTATATAGATAATTACATCCCCTGGACAGGAATTATCATGATTCAGTTGTTGAATTTCGATTCTGCCATGTCTTATATCTAATTGTGGCTTCTGCAAGTGTCATCCTTTTGAGAGTATGGTCAGTGAGTGTCAGCCACAATCACAGAGATCTAGTCATGCGAAAAGAAATATGTATTTGTTGACTGACTGACTGACTTTCTACCCCACCAGGACATCACACAAGCGATATACACCCGATGACACAATGTGCCACTATGTGCGTGAGGATCACCATGGAGAGGTCCCAGAAACCGCGTTTCAGCCTTTAAGCCATATTTATGGCCAGGCTATATTGCGGCCCCTGGCAAAAGCCAGAGTAGGGCTTCAAATAAAGAAAAATTTCACCCTAAAAAGGACGAGAAGTAGTTCAGACAGTGAAATGTGTGATAGTAATATAACGATAATGTATTTGCATTGTAGGTGACATAAATCAAAATATAAATGGAACTCTTCTGCGACCAAAATCTGGTTTCGCCCTCATTGCTAGGTAACATACTGTCAACTTTAAATATTGTTATGGTCTGACTGGTCCCTCTGAACGCACGAAGTGGTGACATTTTAGAGGCTGTTTAGACATCAAAGAAGTTTATAAATCTTTCAGTCACCAGGCAGTAAGCATATTTAGAACAAATAGATGAAATATAGAGACTTGTATCCTTACAAAGTTTGTTCTTACAGAGTTCGTTGTTCAAAGTTGTTGTAATAATCACAACTGAATTAATTCAATTAATTAACGAGTTAACTCGATTAATTATTATGTAAATTACCAACTTTAAGAGAAATATGCCTCCACCCGCCTAAGTTGTTGCTCGGCTAAATTTTCGAGGGGTTGACGCTAGCAACGTTTATATGACTGGCTCAAAACAGCAGTCAGTCAAACTGTCCACGTTGTCGTGGTTGTTAGATTTAAAACTAACCTAATTCCAAATTCATCAGTAAAACTGAACGAACCAATATAGGTTGTTGCGTATCCTTTACAGGATGTTGCAGAACCAACACTAGGCAATTTACGTCCAGTAGTTTGCCATGCTTTCTAGACGGTCGGCTTTCTTGATACCACTGTTGAAACCAGCGCAAGGCGCATGGCCCGCAATTGGGATCGAACCCGGCATGCCACAGAGCCGATTAACCAATATAGACTTGCGGCAAATCAGACTGTATTTACCAGTTTGAATGAACTGAGCGACGACTGGAAAAATGAATTGTTTGTTTGTTTGTTTTAGTATCCAGAAGCCATAAGTTGTTAACCCTTAGGTTCGGTATTATGGATATCGCAACCTTTCGGCCTTGATTCCATTTTAAATACTGTAAATCTGGGAGCAATGTGGCTTTTCTGCCCATCTCTGGGAGTGAACCCAGACCACAAGGAGTTCGTCACCTGCTCACCGCGCAATCCGGTTTAGCCAACTACGCTAGAGAGACGGGCGAAAAATGAATAGCTTAGCATACTCCATTTATGTGTGGTTAAAAACAAAAGCAAATCACATTACTAACAACAACAAACACAATTCAAATGAATTCTAGTCACAAAAGACTTTTGGTTAACATGTGCAGCTATTTTGAAAATCCCTAATAGAGTTATTGCTAGAGCTACAGAGTTTCTGCAACACTTACTCAGCTCCTCTGAGAAGAGACTGGGTCATTTGAGTTAAAACCTGGTGCAGTCAAGCTGATCATCTCACACTTGAACTATAAATTTCAGCCTTTCAAAGCAATAGTTGCAATGGTTTGAAAGGGTTAAAGAAACACATGCTTTACAATTTCCAGAACGAGCCATCTCAGATCAACAAAAGGCAGACTTGTTTGCACAATTATTTTACAAGGCCAGTGCTAACAGCAGGATAGGTTTTCATGAAATGAATAGAAAAAGCAGTGTAATAAATAGATATCACTAACTAAAACAAACCAATATTGACAATAAGTCATATCTCAATTCTGAGATTTGAGTTTTTCCTTAACTCTGTTTCCCTACCCCATGTATTTGTATATGTGTCTGTCTTTAGTTGTTAGGTAAAAAACTGCTTAAAGAATTTTTTTGTTTTACAGATTTTATCAGAGAGCTCATCTTTCTTGTGAAGTTACGATGTCAGATAGATTCCTCAGCTCCAGCAAGGGCCCAGCTTTCTGTCAGTATGCTACAAGCAAAGGACAAATTCTGTTTGAGAGAGGTTACTGGAATCCAATGCCTATAAATACATACCTCAGTGGAGATGGATTATCCCACTGTTACCGTGGTCCTGCCTATTATGTCCCATCAGAGAGGGCATGGGTGGACTACAAAGATTACCACTCATTACCACCTTTAACTCGACGTGATGCTATACACATGGACAGTGAAGATAAATACAGAGAGTTCCAAAAAAAGAGAGACAGTAGACCACACCCATCAGGTATACATGTATTTAAATTTACTCGATGCCTGTTCATTTTGCAATAAATACACAGTGGTATCTCGCTATATGTTTGCTTTAGTATACACTCACTTTAGTATACATTCAGTTTGGTGTACATCCTGGTTAGACAGGTAAACGTTTTGCTTGGTATATGACCTTTGATTGGCATATCATGCACATGCTAGTACTTGTATAAATCAAATTTGTCACGATTTCATGTGATATCTTTGTTTGCCTCTCTCAAGAAAAAGCCATGGATAGATGTCAATGACTTTGCAGAGAAGTATCACCCCAGCAAAGCCCAAACAAGCTGTAATAGCATTGTATGGAAAAACCAGACAATGTAACATTTATGAATCATTCTGAGGAGAAGGCAAAAGCAAAGTTTTTCACTAGGCTTTTTAGTAAAAGTCAAGCAGGGTGAGCCTCAACAAGGTCCAAGTAGCGAAAAGAGACAGAAATGTGGAAAAAGAAAAAATACCGAAATTTTAGGTTGCTGAAGTTTTATTGGAAGGGAACTTTCCTTTCAGACATCTCCTCAGCCTCCATTCTCAACAACCCCTCAACCTCCATTCTCAACAACCCCTCATTCTCTATTCTCAGTGTGATCCTGGTAGGCATTCAACTATCCTCATTAAGATCAAATGAGGTTACATTTTACTTTATTTAATTTAATTGCTTTTGTATTTATGTATTTTAGTATTAGACAGTATATGAATTATTTTGTACAAACCCATCATTGTAAAATATGACAATAACAGTGTGATTTTTCACGGGAACTGATTAATCAATCTCTCTTAATTTCTTATTGGAAAATTTATTTGGTATATATATTGTTTGGTATATGTCCAAGGATCAAGAACAGATTATGCATATTGAAGTGTTACTGTATAAAGACATGTTATAACCCTTCTGATTATGTAATGATAAAGTAGTTCAGCAACTAACTTCTTTAACAAGATAAATTCAATTTGTTAATAAGTTTTTCTCACTCTTCTTTTGTTTTTGGGAGGTGTGGAATAACGATGAGTGGGAAATAAAGAGGCTTATCATGATGCTGACAACATCACCCATCACAGAGATGGTCCCAACACTTGGCTAAATATCACCATTGATAAGAATGTGATTACGAGCGCAGCATTACAGTAAACGATTAACAGCTGAACGTAGTCATTAGACCCACTTACTTTGGCAATACCCTTTCTCAGATTGTCACGACTGGCAATGAAATCAATGTTAGAATCTCAAAAGCCAGCAGCAGCTTGACACATTTTAAACCAACATCTAGAATATAAATGGTATCTCCTGGTAGACAGAGCTACAGACATACTGAAAATAATTCTTCCAGTACGGCTTTATGCTTGTGAAATGTGGTCAGTGTATCAGCACCATACAAAAAAAAAGCTGAATCCATTTCACATAAACTGAAAATTAAATGACCCCATGTGAGTTTCAGCGTCCCATTGTAGAAGGAGAAAGAATCGACCCATTGTTCTCCTAACAAACATGTCATGGAAGGTGACCAAATAGGGGTGTTTCCTTCAAAGTCAGAGTGCATCTGCCTGCTAGGCAAAGGAACCAACAGCCTGCACACATAAAAGCCATACCTGTAAAATGTATGTGCAATCATAACTCAGCTGCTAAAACAAGACTGAAGTCAAGAAGTGGATGAACAACCAGAACTTTTCACCAGTTTTCAGCTGGGGAATGCAAAGAAGAAGAAGAAGAAGAAAAAGTGGCAGGACATGATTACAAACATTATGGTTCTCTCAGCCATCGTTGTACTCATAATCACTCATGACCGACATTTTTAAAGAATGTTAAGTAGTCTTCAACGTGTGTGATGGATAAACAACATACACACTAAATGAGGAAATGACATATTTGAAGTGTAATTATAATGAACCAGCCATTAGATGTTACAGACTAGATAATATAGAACAGCTGCTTGAAGAAAGTCTCATATATCACAGAAATGCATATCTTTTACAGGACTTCACAAACCAACCTAAACATTTGTTGGCTTTTGTGAGGTTTTTCTAGCCAACTAGATATATTGGAGTTTACAGTTGCTTTCTGAATTGTATGACACTCATCATGATCAAGTGCCTTGCTGCCTAGCTTTGGCGACAATGCTTCTCCACCTCTTGTGATCTCAAACAGCATGTATCTGTTTGCGTGCTGATATCTTTTCATGCCATAAAAATAATGCTGTCAAGAATCTTTTCTCACTTCTTCCATTGTCTCTCTTCACCTACATCTTTCCAGTTGTCACAATATCACCAGATTTTCTCTTCTTTTATCAAGGATCAAAGATAATAGAATGCTTTATTATTCTATTTCATTTGATGCATACACCTTTGTCAAAATGAATGCAAAACTGCTACCAAATAGCATACAGTAGACTGGATATGGTAAAGGCAATCATAGTTTTTTTTTTTTTTTTTTTTTTCATTCATAATTATACAATTAAAATGTTAATTATTACATTTGTTTAAATACTGCAGTTTAATTGTAAAATTCATTTTGGATTTTGTCTTGTTGTTGCAGGAATCTCCATGTCTGGATATCCTATGAACTTCACTGGTGTCCCTTATCCCCAGCTGGTTCCATTTCAAACAAGTGCTTGGAGAAGGCGCTGGAATGGACCTGGAAACTTTGTACCACCAGGAAACAAATGGTTCCATGAAAATCCAGGATCATTACATGAAGCCTACAAATTCTACAATGAAGAAGACTATGAGAAATTTAAACACCTCAGTGAAAAACCAACATGTTATCAGAAAGTTTCACGATAAGGCAAAATATATAGTCTCTATAAATGGTATTCGTAAATAATGCAGTCTTTAGGAACTGCTTTTTACTTAGATAAATACACTTTGTCTGTAGTAACGTTTTTCATCCTTAACTAAGTGCCATCACAAAAACTAACATCTGTTTCCATAGATTTCCAGAACATACTGTGTCTTGCAATGGCAGCCATCTCTTGTTATTTTTTTTTCCACTTAAATTGTCCCTTGCTCACTTGCTGTTGAGTTTTTTCCCTGTACACTGTTGTACTGCCCTGTGGCTTAAAGGTTAATGAATGAGTTTAATAGTTTCATGATCCTTGACTATTAGAATTTGCTTTCCACAGTAAAGTAAAGGACCCTTTTATAGGGCTAGACCTATATTTTATAGACCAAACCGCACTTGGTGAGTCATGTGGTCAGCATCATGCCGACTGCCTTTACTTTTCAGGACTTCTAATCCACAGGCGAGCATCTAGCCGCTAGACCATGGCAGCTCCCTTGCTTTCCACTGTGGACTGTTTATTTTAGTTTTAAAAAACTATTTTTGGCGTTTTGAATTTTATTTTTGATAATGATAGGAGTTAAAGCTGGAAAATCTTGCGGCCTTAACAATTAACATTCCCAAAGACAGCAGCGGGTATTCTGTAGCCAACCTTCATGCAAATTCTTTTAAATAACTGTTAATAGGTGCCGTTTCTTTTAATGTTGCTATATTTTCTGACTTCTTTTATTTCTTTTTTCCAGCTTCTGAAACTTTTTAAATTTTTTTGCTCTCCTATACATGAAATTGTCGGTTCTGTGGCTAAGTCCATGCAAACGCTTCGTAATGCCGGGGTGCCGGTTTTGATCCCAGCTGCGGGCCATGCGCCTTGCGTTGGTTTCGACAGTGGTATCAAGAAGCCGACCATCCGGAAAGCAATGGCAAACTACTGGACATAAATTTGCCTAGAGAAACCACACAAAAGCCAGGAGCTACTGGGGTTGGTTCTGCAACGATACATGAAATTTAGCCTGTTTCATGGTATACCCAGATTCTATTTAATTTTGCAGTTGCTTGTTCATTGTCCATACTTCAGTACCACAACACTTGGTACAGTACAGTAGTTATCATGTGCCATCTGTTAAGCATGGTTAGTCATGATTCACCATCCAGCAGAAAGTTCTCATTGTTCATCCACTCTAGGACTTTCACCTTGTTTTAAAACTTGAGTTTTGTATGCACATCCATTTTACAGCTCTGGCTTTTTGTGTGTAGACTGTTTGTTCCTCATTCCTCAGGTAGATGCATTCAGACTATGTGAGAAATACCCCTCATTAGTCAACTTCTAGGACATGCTTATTGGGGCAGGAAATCTATTCCTCCCCCACCCCTCATGGGGGCCCTAGAACCCCTACTGGGGGCACAACATGATAGGTTCTTCTTCCTTATTCACAGCTAGGCTGTGATATCTGCAGCTTTTGTCCAACACCTGCAATTTAAGCAACAAGTTAGTCCTTTTTATACCAATTGCGAATTAACTCTTCAAGTCCCAAAGAACGCATCATACATTCATAAATTCCTACCTAGAAGCCCAATGAACGCAAGATGCGCCGATTTTACATCTTTCTTGACTACCTCTTGGGCCTGTGATGCTAAACCCCCTGGGACTCAAAGAGTTAAGGGGGCAGTAGGTGTACATTCTCCAGTCAACTCCCCCTTTCCCCAAAATGGTAACCAGAAGCCACACTGGGATCACAGGTTCTGTATAGTACTTGAACTTAAAAGGAATCCTCTGCTAACTGTCATGACTGTTTCTAAATAGTTGTAATGTTTCACCGTGTACTTGGATGCTACATTATTTACAATACAGTAACATGCAGTATGTGTAAAATGCAACAATTATTTGTAGAATTTATTTTTCAAAAACCTTTTTGCAAAAATATCCTCCATGCTAAATTTAATGTTAACCTTTCCTGTTCTTTGGATTATTTATTCACATTATTTCACATCTTTTTTTGAAACAGTTCCAGGATAGTGATTTACCTTCTATAGTCTTGTCAAGGTTTACATTGAACATAATTAAATATGCATCAGCTGGCTCCATTCTAATAAAAATTTGATGAGAATGTTATGAATTATAAATTAACTACTAGAGACATCGCGTTGTCTGATTGTAAAAGAGATGCAGTTTTACTTCTGCAATTATCTTTAATTATTATGTGTCCAAAATAATGTTTAAAAAAGTATATTTTTCTGATCTTTAAACATAGTTATTCACTACAGCCCTATTAAAATTATGCCATTAACTATCATACTTTATCGTGTTTTTGCATGTTGCTTCTTTATTTTTTCTTCTGAACATGTAGAAATATTTGGAAAGTATATTTATTGACTAGTTTCATAACATGTTAACTTTTAAGACTTCTCTCTCAACACTTTCAGTCTCAAGCGGTTGTCACATATTAACTTTCAAGGCGTCTGAACACTTTCAGTCTCAGGCAGTTGTTATATGTTAGCTTTTAAGAACTCTGAACACTTTCGGTCTCAAGCAGTTGTTAAATTATCTCCTTTTATTTTGAGAAATTGAGCTTAAAAGCATTAAACCTTTACATCAAAACAGATACCATGGAGAAGTAGTACTTTAACAATTCAGATTCAAAAAGTTAACATAACACCTGTCTGAGGTAGAATTTGACAAAAACACCACATTATCCTTGCAACGAGGCTAAACTTTGGTACTGAAAGAGTCAAATAATGCAGCAATGTCATTAAAGGTTAATTTGTTAACCTCTTCTTCTTAAAGTTTTATTAAATATATATTTATGGTCCATTTAGTTATAATATTTAGATGTAATATTCAAATCAGACAATAATTAAATAAGGCAACAATTTAATGTGAATCCATATAACCATGTTAAGAAAAATACAGACACTAGAGAGCAGATATGTTTGCTTTGTCTGTTTTTCACTTTTATTGTAGTGATGTTCACAATTTATTATAAAATCATGATCATCTTAAGTTTGTGAAAATGTTACGGTTTGCAATATTTTTCTAGACAGTCATATATCATGCAGGTTTACAAACAACACTTATAAAGAAATACACAATACATATCAAGAAATACACAAGACAGTAAAGAAATGGTCCAGCTCTCATGTTTATTGTATCAATAAAGGCAATTCTGCGTAATAAATTAAACATTAGTAAATGTGATTTAGCTGTAAAACATCTGATTAGTAAACGCAATTTAAAAAAACCATTAACAGTTGCAAAATTCTCCAATCACAGCTAAATTGTTATTAAATCAGTCAGGTGCCTCTCCACAATGAAGTTGGCTGGCTGCCACACATCTCCAATAATCTGTATTCTTGGTCATACACTCTCTCAGAGGGCTGTGTGATCTAGAGGTATGGAGTCCACCTCGAGTGCTAGTGGTCCCAGCTTCAAGCCCCGGTGAAGGCTGGGATTTTTTCATGTGGATTTCTAGTAATTTGCCCCTGGTCTCTGGGAAGTAAGATCAGATGCCCATGTGTATTGTTGCGCATGTAAAAAAAAAATACCTTGGCAGTTGGAAATAGAAAAAGAGTAGCCTAACCGCGCTGCCCAGGCAAACTTTGGAGTTTAAAATCTACCCAAAGCATTTCAGGATCCTCGCTGGTGCAACAGAGTTTGTGCACTGCGCTGAGATTCTTCAGACTCAGGCTTGAGTTGGAACAAGAATGGAGCACTTATGGGTTACACCAGTGTGCCATGATGTTGATCTGTTGAATAAAAACATTAAAAAAACACTCTCAGACTGCTGTTCACCCACTCTTGCTGTAGTCCTCCCACTTGTAGCACTATCTGTCTCTCGCCTTTAACTTGTCCCTACCGTATGGTGTTTAAAAGAGGGCTATGTCTTTTAATGTGGCGAAAATATTTCCCCTGTTTACTTCTAATATGTCTTCATTCCAAGAGTCTCCAGAACATGTGTATTTCATTTACTGATCTATCTGTTTCAGAAAAGAATCATATAAATCATTTACTTGATGAAGGGCCCACAACTGACATAGGCATTATGTAATTGCACTGTTTTTTTTCACAGACAAGCTATTAAAGACAAAAACTGCCAACCTTGAGGCTGTCGCATGCAAAACAACTTAAGCACACAATCCTCCCCGTTGGAAATCTAGTATAATATCACACAGCTTTACACCTAATTTCTATGTGTGCTATGTTACCTAGCTCCAGGTGGATGATGATCTTTGTCCTAATCCACTTTTGCAGTTCAATGTAGAGGAGTGTGTGACCTTAACCTTGTGGGGAACATGTAGATGTGCTGCCCTTTTTGCACTGAATCTGTATTGATTATAAAATTATGTATGAGGTCTGTCCATTGCTTTCTTGATTTTTATTTGACTTTATATCCATATGTTTTGTAGTTGCATGTCTTATTAGTGGCTTCAAAAGAATTTTACCTCAAAATTTATAAATTTTATCTGATAAAATGTTGATCAAAGTCTGACAGTGACAGCAAAATATCAGAAGTATCCACAACAGTTGTCAGTTAATGTCCATAAGGATGTTGAATGAAGGTGACAAATTGTAAGTCATCTCAATTCCTTTTTTTGTGTGTGTGGTTTGTTTCAGCTTCTGCCCTCTATAAAAATACTCAGTATAAACATGTGCATGCTTTAAATACCATTAATGGATTAATAAATAACTCACATCATGGAATATGGCTAATCACTTAATGCTCTTTTTACATCACCTAACTTCCAAACACACTACAGACATAACTAAACTTTCCAATGCCACATCAAGCAGCATGTGTTATTACATTTTTTCAAACTGTGGCCCCCATAAAAATTTACTAATTTGCTTTTTGGTAAATTTTTTTATTACTGTCTTGTTTCCCCACTAATCTTTTCCATAGTTAAATATTTTGTAAACGTTTTTCACCCCTACCAAGACAAAAGAATGTTCATAATCATTTTCTAATGTGGTTTTCTATGCCAATAGGAATCACCAAATGTAAATACAGAA